TGTTTGATGAAATGTTTGAAAGGGAAATTAAAGCTCAAGTGATTAGTAAGCTGTGGAGTCTTCTCCCTCGATGTGATTTCTTTTGAATGTGTATGTCTTCACATTCAACTGAATTTGCTTCTCATGTGGTTTTCTCTTCGTCCTTTTTAGGCACGGAGGTCAGTTCATAATATTTCTCCAAATAATATGGATGTTTCGATAGTTGAATAAGTTTTGCGGACCATTAAGATTTGTTTGTTTTTTTTATTGACTTAATGCATTAGTTTTGAGAAGAAGAATGTGAATCTGGGGTATCAATGATTTTGATTGGGGATTATTTTTGGTCCATTTAATCAATACTTGGTTTAGTGGTATTTGTTTTACTACACATTAATTTATTCTATTTACAAGACTTTCTCTTAATTTTTATCAAGAAGAGTTCAGTATGCTAGATAGGGGTTTCTATTATGTTTCTACTTGTGAATTTGTAAATATGTTTGGCTGAATATGCTGCATTTTTTAGCAAAATATATGTATATAATATCAGCTCAAACTTCTTACTTTCACTGTCGTACTCTCTGTCTTTATTGTTAATATGTTTGGGCTATATTTTGTCATCCGTCTCCTAGTTCTATTTTCTGGATAATGTAATAATGTATTTTTCATGGTGGTAGATGACTAGATCATAATAAAATTCTATCTGTTTATGTTTTAATTGCTTTTTTTTTTTGGTGATACTGTTTTAATTGCTTTTTATATGTGTAGTTAGTATTGACAGCATCACTACAAAAAAAACATGGTTTTAGCGATGAAATTTTGAATTTAGCGACGGAATTAGCGACAGATTAGTGAATTCCGTCGCTAACTGATTACCGACGGAATTTTTCCGTCGCTAACTCGATTTTTTAAAAAATAAAATAAAATGCCACGTGACACCTCTACCAATTGCCACGTCATCACTAGGACCACCTCCACGTGTCGCTGCCACCTCACATCTACTGCCACGTGTGTTGCCATCTCACCTCCGCCTGCCACGTGTGCGCCACGTGTCACCACCACATAATTCCCTTCTCAAAGTGACTTCTCCATGGCTTGAACCCAGGACCTTTTCCGTGCGCACGTGCGGCTTTACTAGTTGAGCTGCAATGAACCTATTGACTTATTATGTAAAATTAAATAAATATATATTATATTATTTTACACAAACAATTATATATACATATATATTATTAAAAACTAAAAATATACTATATGATAATTTTAATCATAACTATTTTAATGAAAAAATAATTTTTAAATATTTGTTTTACTATTTTTATAATGTTTTATTTTTTAAAAAATATTTTTAATATAAACTTAATTTCTAACGACAATAATTTTGAATTTTACATCATAAATAATTTTTCATAAATATTTTTTAAATTTATTTTTTAATTAACATTGATAAGATATACAATTTAATTATATATATTATATTACATTATATTATATTATGTATATGTGATTTATATATTTGAAGAAAATCATTTACAATTAGTCAAAAAATCTTGTTATTCAAAAAATTCAAAAAATAACTACTATAATAAAATCTAATAAATTATTCTATATAAAAATTAAATGATTTAAATAGATTATGATAAACAGTATTTTTCTACTTGTATATATATCCTATATAATTTATTTTTTTAAAATTTGTGACGGAATTTGCGACGGAAACAAATTCCGTCTCTAATTTCAGACGGAATTGCGATGAAATTTCCGTTGCTAATTTTTTTGATGGATTAGCGACGGAATTAGCAACGGAATTGTCTGATAGAAAAAGATTCCGTCGCTAAATACGGATTAGCGACGGAATTTAGCGACGGACAGAAATTCCGTCTCTAATCCGTCAAAAAAATTAGCGAGCTAATTTGTGACGGAATTTGTTTTCGTCACAAATTCCGTCGCTAATCCGCTGTTTTTTTGTAGTGCATGCTGGTTCTTTTTCCTGTAACATCTTAATGCCTACTAAAGCATTATAATTATACTTGGATGCCTAACAATTGTAGAGGAACAGGTTCGGGTTAATGCCTATTTTTCCTCTAATTTTCCATTGGATCATTCGTATTCCTGCTAATTTTTTTTCTTCATTTATTTTAATACCTCACTCTTGTTTCATTTTAGAGTTACACAGAACCATAGTGGGACTAGAACTGGGAAAATGGGTCAAGCCCATCAGGCCAGCCTGTTTAGTTCAAAAATTGTGAGAGCCAGGCTTAGAATTTTTCTCTTCAAATGAGAATCAGGCTTAAAAAGGCTAGCCCTGAAGGGTTGAGGGTTTAAATGGGCAGGTCTTGCAGGGCCAAGGGCCGGCTGGTTTAGGCCTTTTTATAAAAAAATTTTGTTTTTTAAAAAGTTTTGTATAATTCTAATATTATTAATTTTTTTTGCATGTCAATGATATTTCAAATATTTAGTTATTATTATCATTTTGAAATTAAATTTCACATAATGGTTTGATTTATTTGGGTTTAGACAATTATTTGTCCAATTAAATTTTAAAAAATGGGTTAATTTGGTCTTTAATAATGATTTGATTTATATTATATGTGTTGATATTTTAAAACTATATATATATTTGATAAGAGAGTATTTTTATACTTATATAATTTGTGATTCTATATTTTGAATTGAAAATTTATGAGTTTCAACAACATACTTCTCAAATTAAAGTAAAATAATAGCTAGACTATAAAATTTAAAAGTAAAATTCCTATAAAGAAGAAAAACTTGATAATTTTGCTATGAAAGAAAAGCAATTGATTATAGTAATGATGAAATTTCAAAAAATTAATAATAGTATTTGTCTATTACACATTTGCACTATTTATGAAATTTTTGAATGTTGTTGTCCTGTTGATGGATATTTAGATATCATGATATTTTGTATTTGTGACTTAATTTTATTCCTAGTTATGTGTTCTATTAATAATTTCATTGGTTTGTTTTTATATTTTTAATAAAAATGTGAGAAATATCAAAAATAACATTTTTTTCCTTAAACGGGCTGAAAGCTCGCAGGTCGACCTTGAGACTATCAGCTTAAAGGCTAGGCCTAACAAGTTAGAGTATTTTTAAAATTTTGACTTTGTAGGGCTAGTCCTTTTAAACCCATTAGCCCTGCAGGGCAGGCCTGTATTCTCCTTTTAAGTGAGATAAGCTTCTTCCCTATTTCAAATGACATGGTATTAATGCTTTCTTGGAGGCTGGAGCACATAGCAAAGTTTTCTCGAAGCCATAAGTTAAAGACCTATGGCGTCTAGCAATGTACAACAAAAGCCATAGCTTACGATGTCTGTTGCTTTATAACAAGCATGGTAAGCGTACTTTTCGCTTCTTTTCATTGTACCACTCCCAATATGTAATTTTAATAGAAGCTAAAAATGGTATTTTGCACTAGTGGCTTAATTTTTCATAACTTCACTCAAGAATATTAAATCCTCTAGAGTTCACAGCTGCCTTACTGGTATATTTAGGGCCCGAGGCATCAATTACTACTTAAATTACTTTATATGTCTGCAAGCCTACAAGTAAGTTGCCCACTAAAGCAATTTTTTTTTTAAAAAAATCATTTTAGATGGTTTATGTCAGCAATTAGGTATGACATCGATTTGTGTGGACTAGTTATACCTGTTGTTGGTCAATTTATTTCCTACCCCCTCCCTCCCTCCCTCTCTCTCAACTTTTAGTTTAGAGGACATCAAATGTTTCAGTTGAACCTTATGTGTAATATGCCTCTCTTTTTTTGGGAAAAAAATCCTGTTTAATGAACCTTTTGATTTGCTATGCAGCTAAGAATTGTCCATGTATGTGAAGCAACATTGACCAAGCGTTTGATTGAGTCTGAGAACACAAACTCTGCAATCTTGACAGTATGTTCCTTACTATTTGGCATGACATGGCATTGTAATATACTGTGTTCACATTTACTGCAGTTTACAATTGGCGCCATGACATTTGTTGCTCACACTGTCCTGTTTCGTAGAATTGTTTTATTTTTGTGTTTTGAACCACTGAAAATTTAATGTGTACCTGCCTTGCATGGCGAACTTCCTTTTGTATTGATTCTCTGTCTGGGGGTCTTGAAGCTTTACTTAGAAGGTGTTTGGCAAATCAGACAAAAGTGCTTTTGGAGCCCAAACTATGGATTGAGCCCAAAATCATCCAAACACTCTTAACGTTTTCAAAAACTATGGTTTGGGCTAAAACTATAATTTCAACTTCCAAAACCATGGCCTTGTAAAAAGCAAAAACATTTCGCTTATGAGGCTCGAATTGTGGTCGCTATTATGAGTGTCAGAAGAAGGGCAATGGTATCCAGACAAGAATGACCCTATGTTGAAATCAAATTCTCTTTTTTTTTTTTTGTTTCTCCTTGCTCGTTCAATAGACGTCGTCCCTGGTGGTGCAATTTATATCCTTGGCTTGCAAGAAGAGGTGCTGGTGAGGTGTTTTTTTATTGGCAAAAATATAATTATTTTTATAAAAAACATATTTAATCTTATGTTATATAAAAATATATATACATATTAATTATTTTTTAATTACATTTTCTTATATATTATTAATTATGTTTTTAAAAATACATTATTAACAAATTTATTTCTTGAAATCAAATTATATTATAAAATTTATCTTTTATGTAATTATCATATTAACTTATACTTTTTTTAGTAATTTGCACATATAAAAAATATTTCTAATAACAACTATCCGAACACTCTCATTTTATCAGAATTACTTTTTTACAAAATTTATTTTTTATAAAATCTATTCTCCCAAAATCTATTTTTTAAAAGTTATTTTTCAAACTATAATTTGGTTTTATCAAACACTTTTTTTGGTTAGGGTTGAGTGTTAATATTAATATTTTATTATTTTTCTTCCTCTAACTGAATCCAAAGTCGCGGGCTCGCGGCCCGTGAGTCCCCCCCCCTCCCCCCCAATCTTCGATATAACGGACTGAACGCAACTCCTCGTTCGAGAACTGCCTCACCAACTGTAGATTTTCGCGCTAATTTAGCTTCATAGTTCTTCTCACTACAGTTTTCCTCAGAGATTTTTAGACTTAGTCGTCTCATTAGAACCTATCGTTTGTTCGTTAAGGTGCTCCCTCAGATAAAGAATCTTTTAATTTCTTGATTTCTTCCTTCGGTTTTGCACTGCTTGTGCTGTTGGTGCTTTTTTTCTTCATTCTAACTGCTTTTCTACGTCCTCCTAGGGATTCTATTGGCGTTGAGTTATCACTACTCTTTTTTCTCTTTTGGTGATTTGCAAGGGAGCTCAGACATAGTATTAGACAATGATATACTGTGATCACTGTCGGAAACGTGTGCACGGAATGCGACCGGATGATTCTTCATTGTGAGTGTCTTTACACTTACTGTTTCGAGGACTGATAGCTGCACAACTACACAATCTATTCGGGCATGCTGCATTTGTTACGTTTTCATTATACTTGAACATTGGGCTGGTCCTTGGAATCGGGGGGCTAAAATTAAAAAAAAAAAAAAAAACTATCTTTTTTATTTTTTTGGCCTCAGATGTTGTGAAGCATGTGGGAAGGTTTTGGAAGACATGAATTTTTCTCAAGAGCCCACTTTCATTAAAGATGCATCTGGGCAGGTATAATTTTAACCTTATTGGTCTAGTTTAGTGGTTGTTCGATGGGGATCTGGGCAGAGAACTTAAGGTTCATCATGTCTTATAAGAAGTTCAAAAGCGTCTTGTATGAGCAGTTCTTTAAATTTCCTTTCTAGCTCTCAACTTCATTAATTTTTATTGTTCCTTCGTATGTTTTCTTTGCGGCTAATCTTTCCTTGCTTTTGTGCAGAGTAAACTATCAGGTAATTATGTGAGAACAATCCAAAGCGGGTATTCGGCTTCCCGTCAAAGAACATTAGACAGAGGTATCTTGTTCATTACTTGTTCTAACCCTTTGAATATAGTAGAAGCAATCTTTCCTGAAGCTTTTGCTCTCTAATAACAATCTGGTCTTCTCATAGAGCTCACAATTTTTGTGCATATCCACCCTAGATTTGATTTAAGTATAATAGTTTATTGTGTTGTGGCATATTTGTAATTATGCCATGACAGGAAAATATGTGTTAGCAGTCTTCACGATGGCTAAGGTAATTAATGGCTGGCAGGTGGATGACAACCATAGTAAAAGCATGTACAAAGGATGAGTGTTGAGAGTGCTTACATTTCAGACAATAAAATAATCACTATTATAAGTTTAATATATTAAATTGTCTGCATGTTTGTGATCCGTTCTTCTTCGGGTTTGCAGCCTTTGATGACATAAGATACCTAAGCCAAAACCTTGGAGTGGAAGATGTCAGGTTGTCCACACAAGCATTGGCCTTTTATAAAGTATGTTTTGAATGTTGTTGAACAGGGAGTTTCTTATTTACTCATATTCACGAGAAAGGGATTTGTTCTTAACCCTGATTTTTGCCCTAGTGAAGATAGCAATTGAACGGAATTTCACAAAGGGACGAAAATCAGAGCAAGTACAGGCTGCTTGTCTCTACATTGCATTCCGGTGAGCAATCTCTCTGTGATAGGATTGCAACAAGCAACATTGACAATTTTCTAATTATATTTTTATCTTAGTTGTGAAATTAATCACATTGTTTGAATTGCATATTGCTTATTGCTTTTCAGTTAAAAATCTCATTTTGAAGCCTTGAATTATTTAGCTTGGATACTCTCAAACTTAGTGACATCCTTTTGAGTATTATGCCCTGCTGGTTGGTTAAGAATATCTTCCAAACTGTGTGGCCTTGTGGAACGTGAGTCATATTGTTGGATTTTTTGCAGACTAGGTTCTATTTTGGGATTCTATATCTATTTATAAACTTGATTTAAAGTAGCACTATGCACTTTAGACCTTGCTTTAGGTATATCTAGGGGAGGGATTTTTTCCAGGATGTGATGGCACAGGATTGAGGGATGTCTGCATAGCATGGGATATTTGGAGTAGATTGTTTGATGTTTTTGCTAGACTGACAGGCTTGTCTACAGTACATTATTCAAAGGAGTTCTTATGATCTGTTTAGGTGCTTTATTAAGAGTTTGAAAGAACATAAAGACAAGGTTCTCTTTCTAATGCCAATGTTAAGAGATCTTCAATGATGTATTTGGTTGGGGTGGAATGTGAGAAATAATGAGCATAAACTTTTTAATGGAAATTATTCTGTGATGGAGTAGTTTTATGGCATTGTCCATGGTGTTTTGAAATTGTCAATATGAATATTCAATGAAACAAATTAGTCTGAGCTTGACTAGTATTTCATTACCTCCTCAATTTTGCTGAAGGAGAATGTTACTTACACTTTGGCTTTCAAATTCTTATGTTCAATAAATATCTTCCCTCAGATTTTTAGTATATAATTTAATACTTATTGGTAGAGCTTTTTTTTAAAAAAAAAAAAAAAATTCCATTGCTTTTGGGATAAATTTTGGGGTAGGTTGCTCTGCCTTTGTGGTAGCTTTATGATATTTAATACTATCTCCGGTTCTTAATATAAGAGCTAGTTTGATTTTTAATTTGGTCCTAAATATAAGACTCCAATCCACTTTATCTCTCATATTCATCCATTTTTTTCAAAGTAGTCATTGTAGTAGTTAAACATATTAAAAGTTCAATTAAATGGTAGTTTTAGCTAATACATGATTAGCAAGGATATTTTAGGGAAGACAACACCTAATTATTAAAAATAACTAACTCAACAAATTTTCCTAATCTGCTCAAACTAGTTAACTAAGTTTTATATTAAGGACAGAAAGTAGTATTTTTTTTAATTTCTTTTTTTGATTTATTTCAGACTAAATCCACTGACTTCTTTTTTGGCCTTCTATATCTTTGCTTTCTCCAACTTCCTTTGATATGCTCTTCTATATTCATGTACCTCTCTTGCTCCCAGCCCAGTATTGTGAATTTTTACATCAGGTGTATTATGAGCCTGGTGTTATTTTAGTTTGCAACGCAATGGTGGCTATACTATTACTTTTGTAATCCCAAACTGAAAATGATTAGAACTAGGTCCTAGTGAGGGATCGTCGTTGCTTTTGATAGGTTTATCAGCAGTAACTTGGTTGCTTTTGATAGGTCTATCGGCAGTAACTTATGATGCTATAGCAATGGTTAACTTTAGTGGAAGTGTGGCATGAGCTTGATGATATGTTTTCTTCCTTTTGTTGTATCGTCTTCATCGATTAGCCAGGTCTTGTTATGACTAAATGACCTGAATCTTTCGGAAATTTTTCTTTATGTGAGCATATATATGTGTGTGTGTTTGCAGGGCAGAAGATAAGCCATACCTTCTCATTGATTTTTCAAATTATTTAAGGACAAATGTGTAAGCTTCTTTTGATGATGGCATATTGTACCACTTATTTTGGTTACTGCCTTTTCTATTTATCTTAGTTGTGTTTATGATAGTTGCCTGTTTCTGTCATTTGTGTTGCACAGCTATGTTCTAGGTGCAGTTTTTTTACAGCTTTGTAAAGTATTGAGGCTTGAAGAGCACCCAATTGTTCAAAAACCCGTTGATCCTAGTCTTTTTATTTTTAAATATACAAGGAGTAAGTATCTGTTTGTGGCTTATTTATTTATTTATTTATTTTTTGAGTGGTTCTATACTGTTTCTGGTATGTAGTCTCTTCTGCAGTTGTGAGTCTTTTGCTTCAAGTAACTTACATTCTAAATGAAAAATATACACATTTTTATATTAGATCAACACAAATGTCTGTGTATACAAGATGCGGGAGTTGCCGCTTAAGATTGTTCCTTTTACTGTTACTACAGCTATTGAAAGATAGTGTGCTGATGCCAAGTTATTTAGGGGGGAGAAATTAAGATTGAAATTTCCAATTTTGAATTGAGTATTTTTTTATTTGTGTACTGGGAAGAATGGGAAGACAGAACATATATAAACTAACTTATTTCATTCTGCCTTGAAGAATCTGTGTGGTAGATGAGAATTATCGTGTGGTTTGTTGGAATATGGTGATACACAGGGTCCAGAAAATTTGCCCTTATGTTTGCAAAATGGGTAGCATGAATGCATAGAAACAGTTATATGTTTCTAAATTAATCATTAATTAAATTTTATGATTTTTTTTCTTTATTTATATACCTGTTGTGTCACTGGGAATCATGATTGTGTTGATTTTCATGCAGATTTATTAAATCAAAGGAATATCATCGTCACTGAAACTGCACTGAGCATTATTGCAAGCATGAAACGTGATTGGATGCAGGTACCTTTATTTGATCTGGCATCTTTCTTAGATTTTAATCCTTCAGTCATGGAGATATTGCATTTCCAATGTTTAAAAACAGACAGGGAGGAAGCCTAGTGGTTTATGTGGTGCGGCATTGTATATAGCTGCGCTTGCACATGGTTTTAAATACTCAAAGTCTGACATTGTAAGTAATAATCAACTTTTCTTCCTTATTGTAATCAATTTTTGTGGACTAATATTGCACTTACTCCGTTCTTCTTACTTCTTGGAGATCTGACATTCCTTGGAATTGTGAAAGTAAGTGTTGCTCAATATATAATCTGGCAGCCTAGATAATCAATATTGAGGTCTTATGTAGGATGCGCTAAGTGTAAAATTGGATTAAAACATAAGATTGGGTCAATGATTGTAACATGATACTGCTAAAGTTTCATCATACTTCAACTATGCAGGTGCCAGGGCATTTTAATTTAACTTAACACCATCGGATGGTTTCAGATGGGATGTAATATCATGGAGAAGGGGTTTAGTTTATGTAAGTTCATGCTGTAATAGCGAAATAAATAGTTGCACTTGGGGAAGTGCTCTGCCCGCTTTTGCCTTTGCTATCTTCTTCCAATATTGATTCTCGTTGGTGTCATAAAAGAAGGAAATGGGTCCACTTGATTCACCAGAATAGGAAAGCTAGAAAATGGTTTGGAAGATCCACTTGTTCCCTCCTCTCTTTTCTTAAAGAGAAAAAATTAACTTCCTGTGAAGATTACGTGGGATTGTGCAAGCATGATCCCTCCTTTTTTTTGTTTCTTTAAATTAATTGTGGGTCATGATCACACTGGATCATGCAACATGATCCCTCTATCTTGATTGCAATCTTGAGAAAGTTCAATCCTCCACCAGATCTAGGGAGAAAATGATGTGCAAGATTTGGGATCTTACGATGTTGATTGCAATGTTGGTTACTATGCTGCAGCCACTTTGTTAAAGGCAATTTCAACTCAAAAGTATAGGTTATGGCTCTCAAACAGCTTACATGATATCTAGTGAGGCCCCTTACACAAATGTGTTATAGGCTTGGTGTTTGGACAACGCATGCCTATAAATCTTGTGCTAAAAATGAATTTTAATTTAGCAAATGGGAGGTAGCAAGGATCCAAGTCTTGACTACTAGATCAGTTGTTTTATTACCATATCACCGACCATTTCAAGTTGAAAGCTGATGTTGTTGATTAAAGGCTTGGGTAGTTTTATGTAATCTTTAACACTCTTGATGATTTCTGTCTAGTTTATTGGGAATTTCTTAGTTGCTGATAATGATGTATCCCTGGATCCTTTCCTTTCTAATTTTGACTTCATTATTGTGATTACTCTCTCTTTGCTGTCTATTCTTGGCTTTTCTTCAGTCTGGGGCTTCATTGTTTGATTTTGAGAAAACAATGTGTAATGCTTAATTTTTCATAACTTCACTCAAGAATGTTAAATCCTTTAGAGTTTACAGCTGGCTTACTGGTATATTTAGGGCCTGAGGCATCAACTACTACTTAAATTACTTTATATGTATGCAAGCCCATAAGTAAGTTGCCACTAAAGCAATTTTTTTTTGTCTTAAAAATAATTTTAGATGGTTTATGTCAGCAGTTAGGTGTGACAGCGATTTGTGTGGACTAGTTATATTTGTTGTTGGTCAATTATTTCCTCTCTCTCTCTCTCTCTCAACTTTCAGTTTAGAGGACATCAAATGTTTCAGTTGAGCCTTACGTGTAACATGCTTTTTTTTTTTTTTTTGGGAAAAAAAATCTTGTTTAATGAACCTTTTGATTTGCTATGCAGCTAAGAATTGTCCATGTGTGTGAAGCAACATTGACCAAGCGTTTGGTTGAGTTTGAGAATACAACCTCTGCAAGCTTGACCGTATGTTCCTTACTATTTGGCATGACATGGCATTGTAATATACCTTGTTTGCATTTACTGCAGTTTACAATTGGCGTCATGACATTTGTTGCCCGCACTGTCATGTTTTGTTTAATTATGTGTGTTTTGAATCACTGAAAATTTAATGTGGACCTGCCTTACATCGTGAACTTCCTTTTGTAGTGATTCTCTGTCTGGGGATCTTGAAGCTTTATTTAGTTAGGGTTGAGTGTTTGGTCTGCTTGATGAATTGCCATGGTTTTAAATAGAAGTTCTTGAGTTGTGCTCTCAAGAGTAAATTATCTGATTTGCTACACCCTTATTTTATGCTGCTCATAAAAACATGATGCTCTATATCATCTTTTGTTTCCCCTGAAGAGGGAAAATTTGAAGGGATGAAGTAAATAGAAATTTGAGAACTTCATTCCATTTTATTTATGTAATAACGTGGATGAAGCTTTCTTTTTCAAATTAACTCATGGTTATCAATTGCGTGTAGTTAGTTGTGTGTTCAATAGAGTAAATTTACGCAGCATGTCATCACCTGGATTCAGTCTTTCATATTTTCAAATGCATCTCCAAAAATGAGAACTCACGTTCTGGTGACTAAAAGTCATTGCTGCTCAAGTGTGGATCTAAACCGTGTGTTTGTGCACTTCTCTTGTTGTGTTGGACATGATCTGTTGAATGAAATTTTATTATTGCATATTTATTAACTCTATGCTTTATATCTTCTTGATATTCATAAGGTGAAGATGTTTCCTCTTTTGCGTTAAGAGTTTTTATTTGTTTGGGTGCTGTTTGAGGTATGTTTATATCATTTCTACTTATATTATGTGATGCCTATGATGAAATTTGTAGCTGTTATGTCTCTTTGGAACTTCAACTATAGCTTCTTTATTCATCCTTTGAACTGAAGATAGAAGGCTACATTTTTGTAATGATTTTTTGTTCATGGGAAAGTATCACTGACATGTTTGATTTAATAATTTATTAAAAGTGGATGTTTGTCATCAGACTTCTGTTGGTGACAGGTTGGGGAATTGAAGATGATGGCAAAAGAACGTGAAAAAATTCCTATGGAAAAACCAAATTGTGGATCAGAGGAACATGTCTCAAAGGATCTACTGTGTGAACACAAGGATAGTGGTGTCCCACACTGGGCCCATGGATTATGTGAAAGATGTTATGAGGATGTGAGTTGTTTCTGCCTTGTCTGTGCTACACTTTTTTGATCCTTAATGATCATTGTCTTTTATAGTTACATTGACTGGTGCAGTTTGTTAAACTCTCTGGTGGACTTGATGGCGGTTTGGATCCTCCTGCATTCCAGCGTGCTGAGAGGGACAGAATGACAAAATCACCTTGTGAGGAAAGTGGCAACCAATCAAGTGATGTAAGTGCATAACGAATGGTTCTTTTAGGAGTATTCATTTCTTCATCTTTTCACTTGGGGTTATTTGCGTATAAAGAAATCAGTTTTTTTGCATTGAAATTGCAACAGAACTGCCAACATAGTCCACAGGCAGTTAAGCAATCAATAGAAAGCTCCTCAAGGATCTGCTGTTTATTCCGGTAGAGACGATTTTTATCAATCTTGGAAATGATGAAAAAACCTCTCCACATGCTGTAGGATTAACATGCTGATGCCAATGTCTAAACTAGAAATGTCAATCCCATGCTTAAGGTTTTTAACGTCCCATCTGGTCCACAAGTGTTGGAGTTGTAACCTAATGCATCCAGTAAATGGGAGTTATGCGGGTCTATAACAATTAACCATTATGCTTCTGCTCTTGTCAATATGGTATCGTAATTGCCATGCCACACAATCTCAAGCCATCTGTTCCTAGAATACTCCAGAAAGACTGTTCTTACCGAAGTATGAGCGAGCAGAAATTTGTGATTTTGATTACTCCTCAAGTAAAAACAGTCTTTTCTTATAGGAGAGCAATCTGATGCCAATTGTGGTTTACTAGATCTTTCCTACTAGATGACTGTCAAGAATTATAGGAAGGCACTAATTTGAAATTTAGTGTAACTAGATTTTAAAGCTCATGCTTTGCATGGAGTTTGAGGTGGCCCAGATTATGCATTGGCTTATGAAAAGCGCTGCTTTCTAAAGATTTCATATTATATTATATATTTTGATTTTAATATATTCTTTTGGTTAGTTGGCAAAAGCATCAAATGGTATGTGTGCAGGCAGGAAAGAAGAGCTGTATGCTCCTGGGCCAGAAAGTGTTGGTGGGCGTTGCTGTTTCCTTTTTTCCTTAGCTACATCTCTGTTTTCATTTGTTCATTCCTATTCCTAATTTTTTCTAAAACATTTTCAGTAGCCGATGTTGAGCAAATGGCTACTAACGATGGCAGGAATGATGAATCACATGGAGAAGATATGAGTGCTAAAGCTCTTAGTGAATCAGAAAGTCTCTCAGATATTGATGATTTGGAGGTGCATAACCAAGCTTCATTCTTTATTATTCGTCTGCCACTTAGCTGTGATGTTAGATTTTTTTTCTATGATGTCTGGACTGATGGAATGCTTTTTCATATTTCCTTAAAAGAAAGGTGTGACTATTGAATGCCTTTTGTCTTTTTTTTTTTTTTTGGGGGTAATCTATAAACAATTTTAAGGGTTGGAAAAATGGCGGGTCAAGTTGTAGATTTCAGTCTGAAATATCTGATGTTAATGACATTTTGGTCAGAAATTCTTGGGACTATTTTCCGTGATTTGCTTATGTTCCATGCATACTTCAGGGGGAAAGCTTCTTGCTTACTTCCGTCTCTGTCTTAATTGGGTTTAGAAAAGACAAGTGGAGATGATGAAAGAAGTTTCTTTAGTTAACACGAATGAATTTGTAAAGAAAGGAAATCAAGTAATTCACCCCCTAACTCCTTTGAAGGCTTGCTGTTAATACAAAAATTTTACTTACAATTAATATATAAATCCCTTAACTTGGTCAAGGGCTCACAGTTAACGTAAGTGTTTTTGTTGACCGTTGCTACTAGAAAGAAAAGAAATCAAGAAAGAAATCCCTTAACTCTTTCGAAGGATTGCATTTAACATGTATATGAAGAAAATAACACCATTATTTCTTTTTATGAGTGAATAACGCCATGAGTTCTGAAAACTAATGTAGGCTGTTGGAAGACATAAATGAATACCTATTTTTGGTAGCATAGGAAAGTTGCATATCAACTTTGTGAACCAGTAGAGTTGCAATTATTTAGTCAAGGTGGAAAAGAATTATAGCTTAACTGGGACAGTCTGTTTAACAAAAATAGAAACTAATATCTTCTATATCTTAGAAATTGACAAGTTAGCCAGTCCCACCTAGTGGGATAAGATTTGTTGTTGTATATTTTAGAAATTGATGCAAAACTGTAGTTCTATTGTCATTATAACGGCATTTTTTTTGGGTCAAATATGATCATTGGGGCGTAGTTTCATTTTTTTGGCACTATTGAAGGAGAATATTGTTTTGCAATAACCTTAGGAGAGTGATGTGATTGACCCTTGTTTCTGAGGTCTAGATGGTGCTTTAAAACATTATTAGAGTGTTGTGTTGTCTATATCAAATTACTGACTCGTTTAATACTACTGGATAGGTTGAAGGCTACCTTCACAATGAAGAGGAGAAGCATTACAAGACGCTTATATGGAGTGAAATGAATAGGGAGTATCTGGAGGTTTATAACAAATTAGTGAATATTTTATTTTCTAACTTGTGTATTGTGGTATTAATGCCCAGTTGTATATGGTATCTTATTTAAGTCAATACTCTTTTAGGAGCAAGCAGCCAAGGAAGCAGCAGCAGCTGCTGCTAAGGCAACTTTCGAGGCAAATTTTCAAAACTGTTCCGAGGATATGCTAGCAGCGAAAGAGCTTGCTGAATCTGCTGCTGCAGCTGTGGCCAAATCCAGAAAGGTGACTGTTGAATCATTTTCTTTGTGCGGTTGTGCTTGATTGTGCTTGAGCATTGACGCTGGTGTGAGCAAAGAAAGTTACATCATCATCAAATAACTGCTTATTGGATAAAATGTGTGTGAAATCAACTATTGGATTAGAGGCTCACTTTAAACACGTCATGTTCAAAATAAGATCAAATTGAAATTGATTTGTGGTACATTAGTACATCAACCAATTAACATACAATATAAGTTTTAAAATATAGAGGGCTATTGACTAAACTTATCAATAAACAATTTGTTTGAAACTTAAGAGTGGCCAAACACATACCTATGAGCAGTTGAGGCTTAACACAAGGGCGCTGAAAAAATTATGAAAGTGGGTTGACAAAATTTGAGAACAGTCGTTACTTAGAACTGCGCCTTACTTATGTTTAACTTCTACATCCATATTTTTTAAATTTTATTTTACAAATATTTGTATTAGTTGTGGATAAATTTTTGGAACTATTGAACCCAAAGCGTGGATTGGAGACCATGTCTTCTGATATTTTTAACATTTAGATTTGTTATTCACGATCATCTTCTGAACATAAGGATAGTTTTACTTCTGTAATATTAATCATGTCAGCAGGACTTGAGTCCTATACTTTGTTGGTCTTGTAATACACATGTAGGAAAAAAAGCAGAGACGTGCCCAGGAGGCAAAAAACTCAGGTCCTGCTCAATCTGCTGCAGAGGCTACTCGGAAAATGTTGATAAATAAGGTATTTACAAACTAGTTCCTAATGTTGCCATTTTTTGTAATTTTTTTAATCATGGGAGGTTATGTTTTTCTGCTTTCCATTGATGCGATTTCTTGCCATAATTATTATTTTTTATTTTTTAATTATTGGGTCCCAACAAAAGAAAATATTGACCTCGTTTTTACTGTCTGCACTCGCTGTGTTTCCTTTGGGTTTGAGTTTTGTTACAATTTTCCCCTTGGTTTTCTAAACCTAGTAATTGTTCTCACAAGATGACAGATCTGTTGCTATTGTGATAGTTCTTATGGGCTGATGACAATTACGGCCCATGAGTTGGATTTCCGAAAAGGCCAAAAAAAAAAAGAAAAACACACGCATACATGTATATCAGGTCTAGATCAGTTTAGATGTGTGTTAGAGAGTGATTGTTCAACCAGTCAGCATCATTGAGCAAGGTTTTCAAACATGACGGTAACCGCAGTTTGGTTTGTTTATGATGTCCAGTGTTCTATTGTTACCGGTTAGTTTAGTTTGCATTCTTAAAACAAGTTTTAAGGATGAAAAAGTCAGGAAGTTTGTATGCACCAATGACATATGTCTTTGACTTTCTTCCTATTTTTTCATCTAATCACTTCCTTGCATTGCATCTACCTCTCATTGCTGTTGTCTAGAGCTATTTCATTCTTAAAGTTTAAGCTGATTAGGTGAGGTCTGTAATCTAGTGGTGAAGGGTATGCTTGCAAAAGGATTTTGGCAATTGGTTCTTTAATGGTATTTGACTTTGGATTTATGTGCGAGGCCCCTTAGCATTCAGGATTAAGGTTTGTCCTTCAATGAATGAGATAGGGATGAGGTTGCATTTCTAAGTATTATGTTTTTAAGAATTCTCTCTGATTGCTGTTCTTTTAGTTGTGCGCATTATCATGTTAATCAACTCAGCCATCAATAGATTTGGTTTATGTTAATTTCTCTGGATGGGATCTTTTGAAAACTTTTGTATAATATTATTTACATTCATCATATGCAGAGGCTCAGCTCCAAAGTCAATCTTGATCGCTTGGATAATTTATTTGACGATATTGTAAGTCTCTCCTTGAACTGTTTTTATATTTGATGCCTGTATACACTATTCACTATGCATTTTACGCGTATGCTTATCCATTTGAATTTTACAAAACAGGAGAAAGTCTTTTTTCTTTTACCTTGATGCTGCTGAAACAATCTACTTATTCCCATCTTCTCTCTCATTAGCATATCATTATTCCAAATGTGTTTCTTAAACTACTCAACTCAGACAAAAGTCAATCTTCCAAGTGTTATTGGTGTTTCGTGTCCTTTGGCTTTAATCACATCACATCACGACAATATCTGGAAGTTGCTTTGCGCCCCTGCATGATCATGATGATCTATTATTTTATCTCCTTTAGTAACTGAAACAATTATTTTAATATATTCTTTTAAAAACGAAAATTACTGACTTTTTTTTGTACAAAATATTTATTTGTTTTGACTAATGTTTTAGGATAGAACAGCATTTCATAGTCGGGTTTAGTTTACTTTTGCTCTATCTGCTCGAATGTCTCGTTTGAAACTGGTTTTGCATAGTTGTTAGTTGTGACTCCACTCTCTGATATACGCGAATAACAGTATGCAAAATCTATTGTTTCAGAAATTGTTTTAAGCTTAACCTAGATAGAAATCAAGACTCCGGAATATTCTTACTTTTCCTGTACATTTATATGTTGTTCAAACAAATAATTCTAGGAGGCCTCGGAGAACAAGAAAGTACGGTTTGAGCTGCACTCTGGTAAAGGTAGTAAACTAGAGCCTGAGCTAGAGGACAAAGACAAAGGTGATGATATGGGATCTGTTGATAAATTTGAGTATGGAGGTTATATGGGTAAGGAAAATAATTTGCAGGAAGAAAAACTGGCGGAGTATGACTGTGGAGATGATGATTATAGCTATGATGATGACGACTAAAATGTTTCCCGAAGCTCCTGCTGCTTTAATTTTCTGTGGGTTTCCAGGATCCTGATCCAACGTGGCTGGCACTGGGTGAACTCATTGTCCGAAATTTTTGGGGATGCTGTGTCTCCTTGCAATAGCGTTCCTCTTTCATTGTAGCTTCCTTGTATAGTCGTGGGGTTTTGCTATATCTTAAAATAATTTTATTCCCCTTAGTATACCCTCACATGCATGGGCAGCTTTAGGAATTTTGATTTCTCCCATCATGTACTTTCCTTTCTTCCTAGTTTGAGGGTCATGCGAGAATATATTAGTGTAAATATATACAAGTTTCAATAATATGTTATTAATTATTAGATATTCAATTCCCTTCCTTGAGCTCCTGTAACACCTCTCCCTCGTTGATCATGGGCAGATCATACACTTGTCAATTGATATCAATATAGATAATATATTCTATCACTGGCACACTATTCTCAAGTCATGAATAATGCATATTATTTGTCAAATTTTGTGCAATATAGGGAATGGGTATGTTATCTAGTAAGTGATTGGAATAGTATTGGCTAACTGCTGATAGTCGGCCACGCCTGCAAAAGATGCATTTGCCCCTTCATTACAAACTTGTGAATTAAGCACGTACATTTTTCCGTCTTACAAAAAGTATGGTGTTCTTCTATGAATTTATCTTTGATGTTGGCCCTGAAGAACATCAGGTTGCCTTAGGACTTGTTATTTTTATTATTTGTTTGCGCTAAAATTTGGCAAAAGGAGAGCAGAGTAACTAGTGCTTTGCATGACCGGACTTTTCAATGAATTATGTCTCCTCTGGGGTTCCACTTCTTTTGTCCATGACACGTGCTACCACTTACCATGAATTAATGCAATGTATCTGGCTATTTTATGACAAAAGCACAAGAGAAGAAGAAAGAAAACGAAAAATGGATTACTTGGGCATGGGAGGCAAGTATGTGATTCCTTTATACTGAGTTGATGAGAATGGTAATAAAAGAAACCAGCTTTTTGGAATGACCGAACGAGTGTGACATCATTTCTGACGAGATGGCCACTTAGTAAATAATGTGTAGAAATGGCACGCCCACTACGAATTTGCGGGCAACTCATAATCCAGAGTCTTAGAAGTTTTAACTTTTTATCAACGGGGATTGGGTCTAGTGGAAGGAGTTAGTCTCTCACAACGTGACAAACTAAGGTTTGAATCTCTGTTAGGAGATATGTCCACATTTAGTGCCCGACAGTGCTTCTAATAAGATTGCCTCCAATAGAAAAGTAACTATACTTTAAGGGGAAAAAGAGAAAAGAAGTTTTAACTTTTTCGTGACTCTGGCCGGTAATATAATCCATTCTTCACTTACGAATATTTAATCTCAACTGGAGTTGGCTTCACATTCTCTCGAGACATTCTTCCTCATCCATCATATTTACAATCCAGCCTATTGGAGAACTCGTTTGTGCTTCTTAATTTATATTGCTGACATCACGGGTTAAGTAATCGAGACAGAATACAACAAAGGTGAAAAATCAGATTAAGATACATGCCTCGTATTTGTTGATAAATATATCTGTAGGGCATAGCGTCATGTCTTTGGAACTGGAAACAGGACAATAGGTAAACAAATATATATATATATATATATATCTTGTAAAATACCATTATAATGATATGGTTTGGAATTCTTAGATGTGATGTGTATGGGCAAAGTGGACTTTGTTGTTTTGTCTCATTCATTATTGCATTAGGAAGATCACTCCTAAATCAAGCCCCACTAGAATATAATCAACTTGTGCAATAACAAATGGTATAATTAGAAGTGGATGCTGATTAACTAAGATGGAAAGGGAAGCGATATTAAATGTGTATTGCGTAATAGCTGTGTCTGAAAAATAAGTTTGAGGGCAGAACCTACTTCGAGATTTGTTCAAAGATTGTTTATCTTACAAATAATGATTGTTAGAAATTTGGGTAAATCTAGGCTTCTTTCATTGTGATCTAAAAGGGTCGCACAAATGGATTTTAAACCCTTCAAATTTTTAAAAATACCAGATTCATGTCCATATTATCTTGTCTTCTTGTCAGATTATATTTCGAGGTAAAAGTTCTTGTCTTTCACTATGATCCGATCATGATCAAATCAATTTTGTACATTCATTTAATGATTTATTATATTCATCTGTGAATTCATGCGTGGGCCATGAGTAATAATTAATGCAGTTAAATATGCATACTATAAAATTCAGGGATAGAGATAACTTAACCTTCACGACACATTAGTAAGCAAAATATACGAATATTCCTTCAGAACACATAGTAAGCAAAATATATGAATATTTGTATGCTATTTAATTCCTCAAGAATTTCTCAATATTGAGTTCCAAGTAGAATTTTGAGTTTTATAGAGAGAGAATAAATTACTAGCACTATTACAAAAAAGACATTTAACGGCGGTTAAAATGAGTTTTTCACGATGGTTTTGAGAGCGATGTCTATGCCATCGATATAAAATGTAAAGGATTTCACGGTGGTTTAAGAATCGCCATGGTATGTGATTTTTCACAGTGGTTATATAAATAACCATTGTAAAAAAAAAATTTCTTTTTTAAGTTTACCTTTCATCCTATTGATCAAGATGGAACAGGGGAACAAAGTTCCCAATGAAAGGATTTGAGAATCAATCAACCAATAACTTGTCACTAGTTAAAAGCATTTTGATGAAACAAACGTAGATTCTTTCCTGTCGTAATAGTACCACTTAGCTTCACCTTCAACCACCAAATTGAAGCCACTAAGATTTAATAAAGGTAAAATCAAATGCTCATATTTGATAGAATTCATAAATTTCAAGTTGTCAATTGTCGAACTCTGATCTACAAAATGAGGGGGAGAGAAATTGGATCTATTCAAGCTTTCAAGTATTAAAGTATGTTTAAACAAAGAAGAGGAACAAAAATCAAATCAATTTAAACTCAGAATAAACATCATATTCTTAACCAAAGAAAACAACCAAACCATAAAAACTATGAAACCCATGGAAAGAATGGAGAAAAAAAGGTAAAAAAAACTCACAAATAAGAATGAAAAGGATGAAGCGAAGGCGATGATAACAGCGATAGCGACAATGACGGTGATGGAAGAACATGGCAGAGATGATAAAAGTAAAGGATAAACGCCAACAAAAGTAGGAGAAAGAAGAAAATTGAGTGGAGACAGTAATAGGGAACTATGAGCTCTGACTTTGAAAAGTGAAAACTATCGCGATAGACAAGGTTTTAAAATTTTGATAGACTTTTTAAAGTGATTATTTAAAAAACTGCCATAAAAAGTATTTTTTTAAGACGGTTATTTAAAAAACAGCTGTAAAAAGTTTTTTTTTAACATTGGTTTTCTAAAAACTGCTGTAAAAAGAACTTTTCATAGCGGTTTTCTAGATAACCACCTTGAAAAGTAAAATTTACTTTCCTATAATTACAAAAATCCTATTGTCATGTTTTTTTACAGTTTTTTTTCCTGATGACTGCCATAAATTAGTGTCGTGAAAGCTCTTTTTTGTAGTAGTATAGCTTCTTCATTTCCCAAGTTTTTATAAGACAAAAATTGAGAGGAAATTAAAATGTGAATGCAAATCCAATTTCTCTAATAGATTTGTGATGGATTAATTATTGGATTCACTTGGAAGATCATACTTCTTTTCTTTTCTCATTTTCCCAATTTTTGCTCATGGATTAATAAACATTTATAGGATTTGAATGCAAAAGAAGATACGACAGTAGCACTTGACGATACTGCATGCTTCTCTTTCTGAAAAGATCAATAGTATTAAATATCCTTTCCATACTCACTCCATGTGCGTGTGTGAGGTTATGTTCACTTTATATATAAATACACGCGCGCGCACACATTATGTATATAATATGGTGTGAACATCACCAAGAAATATTAAAAGCAGCATGTAGAACGGGGCCAATCATATTACTAGTTAAGTGCTTATTCATGCTGGCTTAGCATGGCACTTAACGTTTTTTCTTTTTTAATGCAACTCAATATTCTCTTTTGCAGTGACCAGTTAAAATTCCCTCAAGTTACAGAGCATGACTCGTTTATTCTTCTTTTTTTTTTCTTTTTTCAATAGAAAAACATTACAATCGAACAGAAACAAACACACAGACACAAAACAAAAGCATAGATTCTGGAATTAATTAAAAGCCTTATTATGCTGGGATTTTCGGGTTATGATCTGTATTTGCTTCAGCCCCTCCCCCATAGTCCTGAGTTTCAAAAGCCATCCTCCCGATGATCCCTATAAATCCTTCGTCCATATCAAACTGCTCTTGCATCTCACCATTTTCAAGCTTCAGTGTCTCCACCTGCATTAAGTTAACAAAAAGAGAGGAACTTTAATTTGAGAGACAAACCCACAAAGGATGACATGGCAGGCGTGAGGTAGCTAGGCACAGTACAGAAGGAAAAGTGCAGTAGGCTAGACTCTGAAAACTTTTAATCGTTTGGCGGGTTGCCAAGCTATCGCTAATAATATCAATTTATCAGCCTTGATCCTTGAGTTCCAGTTCATTTCCATTCTACAGAACCAATACTTACTCGACATGCTCCTGTGTGTGTGTGTGAGCGAGCGAGCGAGCGAGAGAGAGAGAGAGAGAGAGCTAACCTGAGTTGAAAACGGCAAAGCTGAGAGATGTTGTGTGTTCAAATTGTGGGTTCCTGTATATATGAGCAGAAAAGCAGAAGAAACGAGTCAATCTACCACACATGAGGGAAGGAGAAGCAAATAGAGAAAGATTTGGTGAGTTAAGAAGATTGTTACTAGTTGCAGGAATGGCAGAGACAGAGAGAAGATAGGAGAGTCCAAGAAGGAGAAGAAGTAGGATTCTGATGGGCATCCTGAGATGTGGATGCAGATTAATTATGGATTGGGTAGTGGCAGCGTCAATGCCTTCTCGCTGCTTAAATACAGAAAGTTGGGGACACAGTTGCTTCATCACGCAAATTAATGAATGCCAAAAAGTCAACTTCTTAAACCCCTTATTTTTCTATTGCTTCTGCCAACTTGCCTTAATGCTATTCATACGGAGTTATTAATTATCTTAAACAAAATTATATCATTTTTTAAGCTTTGACTAATTCATATGTATTATTGTAACAACTAGTTTATCCAATTTTTAATCCATTTTTATCAACAAGTTTAATTTTCACATAATGTTTTTTATAAAAATAATTTTATCTCGTTATTTTTATCAATTACTATATTGTTCAGAATACAGGTGTTAAATTTTAGTTATTATGCAAGAAATTGTTATAAAAACAAATGAAATGAAATACATATACAGTATAAATCAAACGGATATTAGACAAGTTGTGTGCCTAACCTTCAAAACAGAAGAATATCAGTAATTTACTTAAGACCTTTTTTTAATATAACATTAAGAAAATCAGT